TCGAGCATGTTGTTGATCGACTTTTCAGAGTAGTTGCGAGTGACAGCGGATTTAACGTAGGTAAGGAGCTCTCGATAGTGTTCGACTGCCTGGGGGTGTAATCAGCCTTCGTCGAGACAGGGCGACTGTCGAAGACTGATGACCTACATCGGTATATCTCCCAAGTTTGAACTCCAACTTGATCGCTTGTTTTAGTCCTTTGAAGCCCCTTCCAAAATTATCAGTGATTTTGCCTCAGCCGATCGGCCAAATAGAGCAAGACATCATTACCAATCGCCTTTCTCTTCCTCCATTGCAGGTACACCGAGAAACTCATCTATCGCCTCCTCCGGGTTGTCAATCTTGATCTGTTTGGCATTGTAGTATTTGTTCTCGATTCCGACGTCCCCCGACTCATCTTCGTCTGCGTCTTCGTATTCAAAGTCATACCTAAATCATCGTCAGTTAGCCGGAAGAGGTCGCATAGAGGATGTGTGTGGCATACTCCTCGTCACCGGAGTCTTGCATGAAGTCATCATCGTCAGACATTGCCAAAAGAGCGGTGGTCGAGCGAAGAGATTCGAAATGAGCGTCTAAATATTAGTGAAGTAATAAAATTAGGAATTAAGTAACTCAAAGGGTCAACGTAGGAAAATGCGTCAGTCGTTAAAGGATGATGACAGGTGAAAGAGCTTCTGGGGAATGGATGGGCTTGAGCTCCCGCGCCTATCGGAGCCTCGGAGCCTGGGGCACAATCGCTGCCCCCGCGCTAGATAGATATTGGCCCCAACGCCTGACTAGATTACTACTGATTGTTTCGAACAATGCCGCTGATAGTCAAAATAATATCAAGGTGTGTAGATATACAACACGTTGAGCGGCTTTTCTTCACTCTGAACCGCTTATTTGGGCCTTATTTGCTGGAGTGCCCCATGATTCTCGGATGTGCTCCGTATAGAGTACCTAATAATGGTTATTGTTCCCAATAAAGCAGCCTTAAAGTCCTGCAGCTCAAGGACTGCCGTTCGAGATACCAAGCTTATAATTGAATCTTTGAATGGAAGATGTAAACCTCGAGTCTCCTTTACGGCCAAGTGATATACAATCCTGCTGGGGCACAAATCATCTCAAACGCCTCGATTAAAAAGCGTACATACATATTCATCCTCGCACTATGTATAAACTTCTCAGTTCACGTCAATCCAAATTGAGGAATACCAAGCTCCAGAAGCTAGTTATCCCTAAGCTCCAGCTTCCAGAGCACTAAGCCACCAACTCGACTCTATTGAGTACTGAGTCTTAAGAGATCCAGAAGTGGATCTCACAGTGGAGATGAGCCATCAGACCCTTGTCATCCAAGTGTCTTAGATGATGCGAATACTTGGACAGTTACGCGTATGTGAAGTACCTTAAATCATGAGCTGTTCGATTCTTGTGCTGACATGCCTGAGTTGTTGATACAAGAAGCCCGGTCCTTGCTTCTGGCTCGGATTGACTAGCGACTTAGCATGAGCATCAAAGCGGCTATTGAAAATGAACGGCCGTAGCTGAAATTCGGTCATCGATACCTAACTACCTAGAGATAGGTTCAGGGGCTATGGTCGAGGTATCTACCGTTGGAAACGAGAACAACGTTAAGCCTCTTGGCAGATGGCAATTGTCCTATTCGCGGATTGCCAGCTCTGCAGGAGGATCCGATGTCATCGACTCTGCACGGTCGACCCACGAGGCATGACTTGCGCTGCCTTCCATTCTTAAAATTACCAGTTATGGGGTAGATAACTAACGAGTTAACAACTCTATTCTATTCATATTGCATTTATTATTAGGGGCGACAAACCTCTCTCAACACTCCTTCATTTGTATTCTTCCTCACTCGCTGTTCTACTCGTTTCGTGTATACATCCGACCTGCCATCACTTGACTCTACCCCAATTGAAAACCCCTTATCCAACTCCTCCCTCCACCTCACCAAGGGATCCTCGAAACTGCGTTACAAAATGGAGCTGTGCGGGCGCCAGAAAGTTGTCCAGCGCAAGATGGTGCTCTTGTTAGTTTTGCATACGGTTCAAGTTTAATCACAGGGGCCAGCTGCCTGACTAACTGATTTCGACCACAGGGGAGATGGTGCTTGCGGCAAGACGTCAGCTTTGAATGTGTTCACAAGAGGGTCAGCTGCTCGATCAATGTCTTTACACGCCGATGTATCGAGCATTTGCTAACCATGCTGATAGATTTTTCCCGACAGTCTAGTGAGCTCGTCTTTTCCCGCTTAACAATCCAATGCTAACCTATGCGACTCTGATAGTGAGCCGACTGTTTTTGGTGAGCGCATTCTTCAGTTGTAAAGTCGGTAGATGCTAACAGTTGCCATTTGGTAGAAAACTACGTCCATGGTATTCTTCCTATTTCGCACAACTCCGGTCGAAAGATACTCATTCGTTCCAGACATTTTCGTTGACAACGTACACATGGAGTTGTCGCTGTGGGATACAGCTGGCCAAGAAGAATTCGATCGATTACGGGCACTGTCCTACGAGGATACACATGTTATAATGCTATGTTTCAGCGTGAGGCTCCTGCTGCGTCTGAAGGAAAGAAGTTTGGTGACAAAGCCTGACCATGTCCTTCTCTTGTGCAGGTTGATAGTCCCGACTCGTTCGAAAATGTGGCAACGAAATGGATTGACGAGATTCGCGAGAATTGCCCTGGCGTGAAGTTGGTCCTCACGGCACTCAAATGCGATCTGCGCAAAGACGACGAGTTGAATGACAACCCGAACGCTATCACATTCGAACAAGGATTAGCGAAAGCAAAGGAAATCGGCGCTGTGAAATATCTTGGTGAGAGACTCCTCAGCGATGAGTCGACGATCAGCTATTGATATATGATTGATACGGTAGAATGCTCTGCTGTTCAGAATCGCGGTATCAGGGAGACCTTTTACGAAGCCGCCAAGGTCGCTCTTGATGTGAAGCCTGCAGGATCCAGCGGGTCCAAGGGACAGTGCATCATCCTCTAAATGACTCGTTCCATGCGCCGAGGAATAAGGTCCGATTCACAATCCCATTTGCATGCCGACTTCTCCCTCTAACAATCGGCTCATTTTGACCCACGCGAGTCAGTCGCTTATCATGGCTGGTGATCACAGATACCCTACATCTTTTTCTACTCCTGTGGCCTGTCTGGGTCAACTTCAGCGCTTCAGCGTGACATCCTTCGACAACTTCTTTTCTCTATATATACTTTTCTCCACCTATTTCCTTCTTATTCCTAATGTTTTTTTTGGGTACGTGGTTATCAAGAGGTATACCCGAGTACGGATTGTGGAGCATTTGATTGTCTTGCCTTGTCTACTGGATCTCATTTCCTTCTATGATTTATATCATATATCTGGAGTTATTAATGAAGGTGGCAACTTCATTGCTCCTAACTTTCTCGTAGAACACGCGTATGCCTTGGTCTCTTTTCGACTGTGATGACTATGTCGAAGTCTATTGGGTGGATATTGCAACACCAATATGCAGATTGGTATAATGTACACCAGTGTCGCTGTGAAGCTTTTGTTTCATCTTCTCTATTGTCAGAGGAGATCCTCTTCCCGAACACTATACACACCCTCGATCTTCTCCCCCATTGCACCGCCCCCACATGCAAAATCCGCATTCACCCTCTGTACAAAAGCATCCACAAACTTGTCCGCAACCTCTCCGGTGGACACACCGGGCACACCCTCGCCCTCCAGACTCGTGGCCTCCCGCCCCTCAAGCCCGCACGGTACGATCTGCTGAAAATACCACATCGGCTCCTCCGTCACATTAAACCCAATTCCGTAGCTACTGATATTCCGACGGAGATGAACCCCCACAGCGGTGATTTTCTTAGGCAGAACACCGTCTGCATCCCCGTCCCCACCTGCAGACACAGCCATAGCTGTAGCCGTATTCGTAGCCGGCCGCGGTCGCACCCACACGCCGGGATCCTCGGTCACAAACCCCTGGATGCCATACCCGCGCAGAACATCGATGACACTGTTCTCGAGCAAGCGTATATGGCACCGCGGGGTCAGGCCTAGCCGTCGTAGATCTAGAATCGTGTATGCGACCATCTGGCCGGGCCCGTGGTAGGTCGTCTGCCCCCCGCGCAGGGTGGGATGGTACTCTGCTATGGGCGAGCCATTGGGCGGTGCGGTGAGGATGGAGCGGATGGGTTCCAGGGACGGCGGGAGGGAGAGAGGCGCGGATGGCGAGGAAGGGGCGGTGTTAGAGGGTGGGAGGTCTCGGCGGCCGGTTGTGTAGACTGGGTTGGGGGTGAAGGTTATGATAGTGGGATCTGGGGGCAGGGAATTTGGTGGGTTGGGCTGTATCGCTCCTGTGCCTGCGGCTACTGGAGTGCTCAGTCGCTTGTATGCGAGAAGACGGGTGGTGAGGATTTGCTGGAGATGGGCGACCCGGGTGAAGGAGGTGATGTCGGGGAAATGAACGTGTGCAAGCTTCATCGTTGGAGGTATCGTGGGGGCTTTGTTCTTGCAGTTGAGTTGAGGCGAAGCTTAGATGCAATTGAGTCTGGGTGAATGCATCATGGGTAATGCTAGGAACGGAAATTGGGCCAGTTGCTAGACCAATGGGATCGGACAGTGTGATATGGAGACTAGGTACCGAATACCGTCGGTGGTACATATCTAGTGTCTTGATAAGATAGATCCTCTGTGACGTGAGATCATGTGATGACCAAACAGCCTTCTGGGAAACTTTGGCGAGGTACAAGATTTTATCTATTGTGCTTGCGATCAAAGGTACATGCTATTTCCTCTTTTCATAACTAAAACTGATGCTTATAGCTTGGGAAGCCTAATTGCTGAAGACAGACTTTCAACGGACACAGATCGAAAAGAATATGTATGCAAGGCCCGTGTACCATAAAACCCAAGTGTGCCGCGTAATCAATTTTGTGAAAATTCAGCCGGCTGCTCGAAAAAAAGTAGCGACTCCTTATTAAGGTGCTGAGCCGAATGGCCGAGTCTATGGAGTCACGGTCCCGTTGACAAGTGGTTCGTCGGCTTGTTGCTCGCGTTCAGAGACCAGTTTCCAATCCCGTACGCCACCCTTCCAATCTGCAATGCGACCTTCTCTTACCCGGACCGTGACAACCCGTACGTCATTGTCAATTGATAGACTGGGTCTCCGTTGACCAGCAGCATGCTGCTGTTGACCGAACATACCCAGCTCTTCCTCGAAAGTGTTGTTCTCCAGATGCCTCTCTTTGCACCAGGCTTCTTCCTCCGAACCTGGCTCCAAAAATCGGGCGGTACCAGTGATAGTTGTTGAAATGCTGGATAGTGCGCTGGTGTTCAGATTGAGAAGCAAACTAGCCAAGGACGATCGAGTTGCAACGGGCGGCGGGGAACCATCGCGCTGCCCACTGGGATTGGGGGCGCGGGTGGGAGGACGGTGAGACACCCAGTCATGAACTAAAAGAGAGACTCGTGGATTGGTCATGAGATGGTTCGTCTTGCGTGACGAAGGATTCGTAGTCATAATGATTGTCGGATATGGATCAAAGGGGGTTGATGGCAGATAGGTGTAGGACATGAGAGAGATGTGGGGAGTAAGGCCATCGCAAGTTGCAAGATGGAGCTGTCCAGAATCAGTCAGTCAATATTGACGAAGAGAACGCATATAATCAAGCGAAAAAGAGTAGCAACGTACGAATCTGGAGTTTTTCAGACACGCAATTACCTCGTGAGGGAGAGTCGTCGCGACAAGAGGATGAGTGGTGGTGGCTGAAGCCTCGTATGAAAGTGGTGGATTTAAAGAATCCGTCATTGTGTTGCGATGAAAGAAATTTTGAAGAGTTCAAACAATTGGTGATGCACTCGATATTACCTTGACTGGGCAGAGGAATACCACATCAGTAGCGATCACTCCGTACTACCTTAGGCGGTACACAGCAAAGTGGGATATCGCGGTGGAGGGCAGTGCAATGAACAGGGAGAAGCTGTTGTGGCGGTGTTTATCACTGGTTGCGGCCGAGCCCGGATCGCCGATGGATGGGGCTGCCTTTACACCTTACCGCAAGAGGTAGTACCAGAGCTACCTTAGTAAGACTGTAAGAGTAACTTAACTATGGGAGGGCCCCAGGAGGGGCTTCCCATCGACGTCACCAAACCTCGGACGGTCGGGTCGAGCCAAAAAAGGAGCTGAGCTGTTGACTCAAGCATCCGCGACAGAGGCAAACTGACATGCAAATCCATACCAATGAGAGAAGTGGGATGGAGCTGTTCAGGATAAACATTTAACACGATCAATGCTAAACGTTCTTGACGAGGACAATCATAAATACACCAGTCGTCATCAAGTTATTACAGGTATGGTGCGTTTCCAGCTAGCTAGTGCAAGCAGGACTGAGAAGCAGAACTGAGAAGCAGAACTGAGAAGCAGAACCTCCTCTATAGAGTAGTACTTTACATCTTTCTACATATTTCGTTCCTTGAAGCCTTTACTTTTTACCCAGGAGAACAACTCCCTACTTGCAGTTTACCTAAGGTTGCTGGGATCCTTACTCCGCAGTCGTGGTACATTGTCTGGCCTTTGTTTCCCCGCACTTCTGGTAACCTAAGGAACTCTGGTCTCAGAGTAAGCTGCTTTCCCCAGCTTCTTTCCCACTCAGCTTCAGTCCTTGTCCACCTCATTTATTTCCTTCCACAACCATTGGTGTATCAATGATTAACCACCACTTCTAGTACTCTGTATTAGCCATCTGAAATTACCAGTTTCATTACCTTAGTCTGTGGTGAATTCATACCAGTCTGATTGGGTGATTAGCATTTCTCCGCTTCTTCATCCACCTGCTGGCTTGATCCTTGTGCTTGCCTTTTGACTCCCACGCCACAAAAAGCAACTGCCTCTGTACAACAACCCGCACACACACCACCAAGTACACCATCTCTGCAGCTCTCTTTTTACATTTAAAGCTGTTTCGCAATAGATCGCGTGCCAGTTTCATTAATACTAAATATCCCTGCTTGTTCTCTGTGCTTCCCCTCTTTGAACAACCGCTGTCTGTCTTTCTGCTGTCTTTGCTCCTTGTGAATCCTTCCTTCCCCCCCTTCGACTGTCCCTTCAACCGAGTTGTTTAATCCACTGTCAGACCATACCAATTTGCTCTATTCCTGCACTGTGCCTCAGTTGCCAATCCTTTGGTTCTCTCCTTGTTGTCTTCCCTTTCATCATCTTGTTCATTGAGCCCAACATGCTCGCCCCGCGTTTTGTCCGCCCGGTGTCGTCGCTCGTACGGCCCTTCAGCTCGTCTACCACCGTCTATCGGGCTCCTTCCATCCGTGACATTACCGCAGATTCGGCCGCTGAATTCAACGCGCGTCAGAAGGAGTTCCGGGAAAATTTGGAGGCCGCTCGCAAGAAGAGGGAACAGCAAGAGAGTCAGTCTGTCGATGCTTCTGGTTCTACCCCAGCTTCCCCTGCTATTCGTGATCGCTTCCGTGAGTACGCTACCGCTCCCACTGCTCCCCGACCGAGCAATGCGAGCAGTAAACTTAGCCCTGTTGTTGATGCCGCCAGCGTTCTTGATAGCAAGGCATTGGGCTTACTTTCCACCCACCGTTCTGTAGGAGAGGAGCAGTTGTCGGAAGCCAACCAGTCTCCCAAGCGTGGCCCCTTGTCTTCGCTCATTTACGGAACGAAGGAAGGCCAGCATTTCGACAAGGACATCGAACGTTCGTTTTCGCAAGTCCTCGCTCGCGGTAAATACGTCCATTCGATTGTCTTCCATGAGGTCAAACCCGACAAAGTAGATGAATACGTCGCTCTCGTTGGCGAATGGTACCCCCGCATGGCCAACACCGAAGAAAACAGGGTTAATCTGGTTGGAAGCTGGCGCACGCAAGTGGGAGATAATGACACATTCGGTATTTCCATCTATGAACCCAAAAATCTTCGATCGCCTCCTGAAGTCGTCTCTATTGAGTCTTTCCATTGCTGACATAGGCTTCCGGTAGTGCACATTTGGGAGTACCAGCGTTACGAGGGCTACCATGCCTCTCTGCATAACATTTCCCAACACCCCGAGTTCCCGGCATTTGACCGCAAGTTGAAAAGTCTGATCAAGAGCAAGAAAACATCCCTGATGCAGGAATTCTCCTTTTGGCCAACCACCCCTCCGCGCCGCCTCGGCGGCCTCTTTGAGCTTCGGTCCTACACCCTTCACCCTGGAAACTTGCTTGAGTGGGAGACACACTGGCGCCGCGGCTTGAGGGCTCGCCGGGAAGTCATGGAGGGTGTCGGTGCGTGGTTTGTCCAGATTGGTGATCTGAACACGGTTCACCACCTTTGGCAGTTTGCGAATTTGGAGGAGCGCAAGATCCGTCGCGAGCAGTCTTGGGGCATTGAAGGCTGGGCAGAGACAGTTCACAGGACGGTGCCACTCATTCAAAGCATGCAGAGCCGGATTCTGATCCCCATGCCATGGAGTCCCGTTGGCTAAATCGGTCCGCGCGTTGGAGATTTGTAGAGGTTGCAATCACGAGACCAGGTGGTCCACTTGTGAGGTCGTGGTAGCTAAGCGACAGAAGCCGTCATGGATTGGGTTCCTGCACAAGGTTCTGAGTGCCATGGTTGAGATTGAAGAGCACCGGCGAGCATGTGTGACTGTCACACATTGGTAGTTGCTAGGGCCGCTGCTTTATGGAGACGAGTTCTCTGATTTCACTGGCACGCTGTGGCTTTGTAAACACTCCACAGTATTCCGCTTCTACTCCAGTATACCTACTTAGCTTATAAACCCAACCATGGCGCTTTAGCTATGTATCTATCATGTTCATAACATTTTCAGCAATATTGTATTTAGCAGTCTACCCAGAGTGCTCTTCTCTCTCTCTTTTGCTTTGCCTGTACCCGCATGTGTTTCCTCGGACCAACAAAGGATTTTGTGTCTTGGTAGCCAACTCGGCACAACCTTACTCCATACTGCTGCATCTGATCATGATTAGTTCCCCCCAGTTTTACCCCGCTTTTTCTCGACTGCGACAAGCTGAGCTCAGGCACCGTTTCACTTGTATCTTGCTGGTCTCTCTTTAAGTTCTGCGTAAGAGTGGTATCACTGGTAGGACCGAGTGCCGCACGTGCAAATAAGGTATGTTGCCAGTTGGTCACAGGTTCAAATACACAAATCACGTGGCGTATCAAACCAGCAAGGCCACTGCATTTCTACTCCACCGACCTGGTTCAGGATCAATAATGCGATATTTCTCATTCATGAATACACATCCAACTTTATGGTTATCCGTGGATCTTCTGATTTCATGCATCCGAGGCTTCTAAGCAACCTTAAGGAGCCTAACTGAAAAGTACCGTATGTTCGAATACATGCGGTAGGTTTCTTTGGCCCCGCATCCCGCCCTCAAGGCTGTTTTTCCGCCGGCAGAAAAAAAGTAGACAAGACAGAAATTTGGTACTAAAAGGGAACGTCAACAATCTAGATCAGCGCTCCATCTGTCCTTTTTCAATATCGCTTTCTCGTCGCCATCACTTTTGCTGGGCGTTCCTCCGATGCATTACTTTTATAATATACACTGAACTTTCGATCTTTGATTTTTGGCCTCCTCTGTTTCTCTCGACCTTCTTTGTACTTGACGTTTAGGATTCACCGCCAGCCTGGCTACTCTCCTGTCGTATACCAAAGCTGAGCAGCATCTTTTCCCAGCCTACTTCCCCTAGACTATCGCGAGGCTGGAGCAAGGTCGACAAGATGACCTACATTCGGCAGCATCAATTGCCAAATCTCAAGACTTATCGATATGCTGGAGTGGATCACTCGTTGATCAGTCGATATGTCCTCAAGCCGTTCTATAACCGATGCGTGATCAACTGTTTCCCCATGGGCATGGCGTGAGTAGCTACGCCCCCATTGATGTTTGAACTCTTTTGTTTGCCTGGACTAGCTAACAGTAGTGTTCTACGTCTTTTCTGTTCAGGCCTAATGCCGTAAGTCTCTAGTCCTCCTGGCTGGTCGAGCTTTAGCAGACCTACGATCGAGAAACTGAGGATTGGTAGATTACCCTGACAGGGTTCTTATTTGTGGTAATCAACTTCATCACCATCTTATGGTACAACCCAACGTTAGATCACGATTGCCCTCCATGGGTCTATGCCAGTTGCGCCATTGGGTTGTTCCTGTATCAGACGTTCGATGCAGTAGACGGCATGCAAGCGTATGGACACCGGTCCTCCTTCCCATCTGCTAGTAGACTAGATTGACTGAGTCTTGTCCATACAGGCGGAGAACAAGACAAAGCAGCCCCCTTGGGGAGCTGTTTGACCACAGTAAGTAGAATGTCGCCCGGGGTCTTCAAGGACAAAGAGAAAGCGCGATGTTCATTCCTTTTCCCTGCAGGTGTCGATGCATGCAATACGGCTCTCGGAGTAATCATCTTTGCTGGCGTGACGAACCTTGGTCAGACCTGGGCTACTATACTGAGTCTCTTCGGAGGTACGCCGAGATTGCCTCCTAGAATTGCTTTATCAGAGTACTAATTCAGGGTAGCGACTATGACTTTCTATGTTCAGACATGGGATGAATACTATACTCAAATTTTGACTCTGGGAATCATCTCTGGCCCCGTTGAAGGTGTCTTGACTCTGTGCACCGTGTTCGCTTTCACTGCCTACCAGGGCGGCGGCAGCTTCTGGCACCGCCCCATGCTTGAGACGATCGGTGTCCCCAAATTGGATGTGATTCCCGCTCATTTGTATGAGATGCCCTTTACGCAGTGGTACCTGATCTACGGCGCCATCATCCTCTTCTTTGCCACTGGGTCCAGCATTGCACATGTCATGAAGGTTCAAGCTGAGCGTGGAAAGGACACGGTTAAACCCCTTTATGGCTTGATCCCGCTGGTTACAATGTGGACGCTTGCGCCCATCTACCTGTACTTGCAACCTACCATTCTGGAACACTACACGGTTCCATTCATGCTATTAGTGGGCTTGATCAACGCCTACGCTGTGGGCAACATGATCGTTGCACACCTGATCAAAGCGGACTTTCCTTTCTTCCATATCTTCATCGGCATTGCCCCTCTCGCGTTGGGCGTGCTGGACAGTGCTGTGCCCTTGCTTGGTCTTTGGCACAGTGTCCTCGGGAATGAATCCGGTCAGGTCGCCTACCTCTTCGGATGTCTGGGTCTGGCCATCGGTGTGTACGGAAGTTTTGTGGTATGTCCTACGGCCCGACAATAAGGAATCATAATTGAGACTGACGATCCCTAGCACGAAGTTATCATTACAATATGTGATTACATTGACATCTGGTGCTTGTCCATCAAGTATCCACATGTCGAAGAGCGGCCGATTGCTAATGGGCAACCCAAGAAAGTGCTGTGAGGGCAAAGGTTGCCCACTGCAACTATTCACCTGCATATCAACTATGCCAGAATCACATACAACAACAAATGCGTGATGGGGAGATGTTGGCGAAGAGCTTTAAGTGGGAAAGCAATACCCGATTGCACTGTATTGTATTGTACGCTAGAGCCGTTCTGTCGGGTTACTGTTTTGCTTCACCTGGATCGATTTGGATTATTGGACTATACCTCAGGTACATACGGTCTACCTGTGCCTATATCATGGCTGGTCTGGAAACCAGCCTTTGACACGTTTCACATTATGTGGGAATTGGATTAGCGGTTCATTCAACAGCAGCTTTTTCTAATGAATTTGATACGTTACGGATTGAGCTATTCTCTACTAAACTCCTGAAGGGAGCCATGTACGAATCGACCCCCCGAGGCGTCATCATAAAGAAGTAGCTGGACAGATCCAGAATATAGACTATGGACCTTGATGGCAAGGAGACTACCTGATCAGGAATAGTTGGATATGGGGGGTCAAGCTATACCTTAACAGACATAGCAAAAGCTATGATTGGCTACCTCTTGGGCGGGGATGGGACGAGCACACGGGCCGTGTCAAAATTACCAGTAAGAGGAAGGTAAGCGAGGGTTTAAGCCCTATTCTCCCCAAACGGGCCCGGCTGGGCGACGCCCTCAGAGAATTCCCTTCAAACTTCGCCATCTCCACGAGACCACCTCTTTCGCTTCAACACCCCTCAAGCAGGCCATCTCCATCAGCGCAGCATTTCAATCCATTTCGCTGATCGACTTTTTGTCTCGTCAAGATGGTAGGTTCTACTTGCATTTTAGCCTCATGCAACACCTTGGGATATCTCCTAGCCGTTCTGCTTGTCGTCTGCACAGGCTAAGGAGCTTGCTGCCCGTCGTGTGCCCGCCGTCGCCGGACCGTTTCATCACAGAAAGACATCAAAGTATCATCGACTAACACGATTTTTCTCTTTCACAATAGGTTCTCGCGGTCGACCTCCTCAACCCTACTCCTCAGGCTGAGGCTCGCAAGCACAAGCTTAAGGTATGATACCGAAATACATGTCCACCAAGGTCCTGGGTCCGATGGCTGATGTTGGGATCCGTTTCGACAAATAGACCCTTGTGCCTGCTCCCCGTTCCTTCTTCATGGACGTCAAGTGCCCCGGCTGCTTCACCATCACCACCGTCTTCTCCCACGCCCAGACTGTCGTCGTCTGCGCCGGCTGCTCGACCGTCCTTTGCCAGCCCACCGGTGGCAAGGCCAGACTCACTGAGGGCTGCTCCTTCCGGAGGAAGTAAATGTCACATTACGACGCAACCGAAGCCGGAGCGATGATTTAGGGAATGTGGCGTTCTTCTTCGACGATGGATTAATCTTTTTTTTTGAGAGAGCAGATTGCAGATAGAAGATGGAGTCCTCGCCCCCTTTGCGGGAAATCTCAAAAAAATTACAAAGTTCGATCCGAAAAAAAGCATTACCGGGCAGTTAATTGCCACACCCAAAAGCATTGACAATGTGTTAAGCTTTTATCTCATGGAGGGGAGTTCCGGATATCTGGCATATGAACACGGTCCAACACTATATCAATCCGTTTCTGCACATCTTCTACTCGTTGCTTCTTAACTCTGTTCTTTTACTTGTTCTCACACACTTGTTGATATTGTACGACGATTCTCATTAACGGATTGTATCTCGGTTACCCTGAAAAACGACACGGACTATGACGGGCTCCTCTTGACGATAACGAACGACATCTGCACGAGCCTGGCTGGCCACAACGATACCCAGATGTCGGATGAAACGGAGCGTTCGTCGTTGACGGCAACGGATGGACTCTGGAGTGGCCGGTGCAGCGCTATGACGGGCGATGTTACTGCTGGATGATGCGGGAGCGAGTGTTCATGGCAGGAGAGCTTGCAGTTGGTTACGGTTCATTCTGTAGCTAAGCTGTAGTTAGTCTCGATTGCTGTAGTGAATCTCAAGCCCTAGTTTCAGTCCTCTGTGTCGCCCATGTAATTGTACATGTAAATGCACTCGTTTCCACATTCGTCTATGCTACTTGCTATATACTTTGTAAATCTTATCTCGCTACGGGCTTATCGTCCTTGTCATCGGCCCCTTCCTTCCACGACTTTCTTATCGATTATCACCCCGGTTCACCAACCCCCCCACCCCTCCCTGATATATTGCCCAACGGATATTGCCCAACGTAGTCCACAATTCGCCATGCATACTTCAAGTGTTTTGACACTATTGACTGACTGCAGCATACTGGGCACGCTGGGCCAATTGACAGCAGAGCGACATATGCAACAATACAAAAATTTCATTCGTGTTCGTCTTGCTCATGCACTATAATGTCAACGAGAGTTCGACTATTCAGTAATCAGCCTGCTATAAGCTCCAGGTGGGATGTCTCGATCCATTCCTCATCCTAGACCTTGATGGGAACAATGGAGATGCGAACTAGGGCAGAAGAACCAGCTCCATGTCCCTTCGTGGCCCATCCATTATCCAGTGACCTACCCACCCCTAGCGATAGCCGGAGGAATGGTGGAACACTCGAAACTAAGGGAGAAATTCAAAGCTAAACCTCAACCAACGCTTTCGCCTTGGCCCGAATGTCCTCCCCAAAGTCCACGGGGTTATTCGGGTCGCCGCCCGTCATCAGTGCCAGTTTACCCGTGGTATCGTTGACGAGGGTGTTGGTGAAGTTGTTCCGGCCGAGGACGTCCTGGGCCATGCTGCGGGCGTTGGCGTCGCCGGCACGGAACTTGTCCATGTCGATTTCTTGCAGTTCGCGGTGGGTGTTGCGGACGAAATCGAAGAGGAAGTAGAGGGTTGGGTGGGTGTTCGGGGGCTGCATTTGCGGGTGGGCTTCAAAGGATCTGTTGGTTGCCGCAGTTGGCATATTAGTGAAGGAACCATTTTATTCAGGCTGGGCGTGAGGTTGAGATGATCGACGATTGGCGTGCATGTGCTAGCTTGTGGTGATGCTTGCAGGCAGATACGTACGTGAGGAGCTCGGCCATTTTGGCATCGATGCGGTCGACGTTGAATTCGAGCTGTTCAGCGCTCATTTTGGATGGTGTAGCAGCCTAAATGAACAGTGCTGTGTTTGTGATGAGTGGGAACACGTTTGTGGGAAACTATTAGTAACTAGTGAGTGATCAGTCGACGAGATTGGGTGTTGTTGGATGATGATGATCGAATCCGATAGATCACGGAGTCTGTAGAAGTGGTGGAGCTACTCCAAAATCAAAGAACGCTAACATTGCCGCGCCTTATCTTATCGCGCGGGAGTTGTCCCACTGCGCTACGGAGTACCTCTCTAGAGATTGGGCCAAGAGATATCAACGATTCAGCTTCACTTCGCATAGATGGACAATTTATAGAAATTCTGCGTAATCTGTTGCTAATTGTGACTCTCGTCAACCCTTGCCACAGCCTCTCATCATGGCGCCCCGTCAACCCCTCAAGCTCCTCATGCTTCACGGCTACACCCAGTCCGGCACCCTATTCCACGCCAAAAGCCGCGCCCTCATCAAGCACATCACAAAGGCATTCCCACTCCACGAAGTCTCCGCCATCTACCCAACAGGTCCCATCCGCCTCAATCCCGCCGACATACCAGGTTACGAGCCGCCCGCAGAGGGTTCCACCGCAGAACAGCAACAGGAGCAAATCGAAGCATACGGGTGGTACCGCCGCTCAAACACCGCCGATCCACCCCTCTACCTCGGCCTTGAAGGCGGCCTGGATGCCATTGCCAAGGTCCTCCGCGAGCAAGGGCCCTTCGACGGCGTGATCGGGTTCTCGCAGGGCGCCGCGATGGCCGCTATGGTTGCGTCGCTGCTCGAGCCCGGCCGAAAGCAGGCATTCGAGCATTTCGCGGATCCCAAGGTTGCCTCGGAGGGGTCCGAGGTCAAGGAGCCTGTTGCGGGTGTCGCATATCCCGCGTCGTTTGAGGAAGCGGGCCATCCGCCTCTGAAGTTTGCGTTGTGTTATAGTGGGTTCCGGTCTCCGGGGCCGCGGTATCGGCCGTTCTATGAGAATCCGCCTATTCAGACACCTATTCTGCATGTCCTGGGATCGTTAGATGCTGTTGTTGATGATACACGCAGTCGTGCGCTGGTCGAAGCCTGTGCTGGTGATCCGGAAAAGGAGGGGAAGGTTGTGTGGCATCCTGGTGGGCACTTCTTGCCTAGTCAGAGACCGTATTTGGATGCTGCGGTGCGGTTCATCAAAGAGCAACTGGAAGGAAACCAAGCGAAGACGGATGCAAAGGAAGATGACGTTAGGGATATGGATTTGCCGTTTTAGACTTTGGGTCGTCATTTTTGCCTTACTACCCGCTTTGTATATATCTGACCCGACATTTCAGATGGTGTCCATAGACTTAGACGTATCGTGCCTTAGATTACAATATGACAATCGACGATCAGTACCGGAGGTACTAGGTAAGCTCTATGCTTCAAGGAATTGAAATTCTGCGTCACGCATTAATCCGGGGTCGTTCACTATCAGTATATTTTACACACTGTTGCAAAATATCTAGTACCCAGTACGATCATGACCGCTATCCACATGAGCGCCACCAACAGATGCCTTTCAACGAGCCTTGCCCTTCTCCCCGCGGGATGGAAGAATTCTGGCCATCATCTCTTCCTTGGTAATCAAATGATCGATGCGCTCCAGTAACCCAAGAAGGCTCTTCATGTCGGTGCTCCATTCGTTCAGCACATCATCAGCATCTCGAGGCTTGGCGAAATTGACCAGTCGTGCTGGACGGTCAATCTTGGCATAGATGGTTTTCGATGTCACCAGCTCGCTGATGTACTTCTCTGTCTCTTCCTCGGTCAGATCGAGGAGCTCAGTCAGACGACCCATCTGAATGCGAGTATAGTACTTGGCTACCACGCGGACATTGTGTTCGATGACGCGCTTGCGGAGATCTTGCCACCGCTTGTGTGCCTGATCCTCCGCGGACTGACTGGGTTGCAAGTCGAACACGTCCGTGTTGCAGAGATGTGGACCAAACTGCTCGGCAACCATGGGCCAACGCATCAGCTCTGGGATGGTGAAGAGCTTGATCAGACGAGCTTCAACAGGAACTAGAGAGAGTCGAGAATCTTGCTGAATGCGATGCAGCAGATCGGACTGTTCGTTGTCGTATGGAGATAGGACAATGTAGTAGACGATTCGGGCAAGCACCTTTCGTGACTATCGTCAGTTTCCACATTAAAATGGCGGCTAGGTATCTGCTTACTGCTCGCAGTTGCTCAGGGTTTTTCTCCACTGATTCCGTGTCCAGGACCTCGCGGTAGTGTTTGCAAACATCCAGATACTTGTAGTCATGGTTTGCGAGAATGATCTGTTGCTCGTAATAACGGAGCTTCAGGTCTGTCACGTCATCGTCGACTTCCATGGGAGGTTCATCGGGAGCGCGTGTCTTTTCTCTTTCCTCGGCCGCCTTCTTGAGCTTTTCGATTTCCTCTGCTGACTTCTTTGGCTTGCGTGCGAAGTAGCGCTTGTTGATCTTGCGGCTCAGGATTGCAGCTTGTGACCAATCACCACGTTCTATGCAAAGAGCTACCTGCTCCAAGATAAACTCTGTCTTCTCACGTCTGGTCATCGAACCGAAGGTTTCCACCTGCAGCTCGCAAAGGATGTCGGCAGCAGCATTGACGTCACCCTGTGTCTTCTTGATGTTCGACAAAATGCGTGTTACACGAGCCCTCTCCACTTCGACAAAAATCTGCAAAAGGTATCAGCAAACAAGCGTGCTGGAGCGACGGGCCTGTTATGGAGCACTTACCTTGCCTTCGGTCACGGTCCGCAACGTCTCGATCACGGACAACTTCACATCTATGCTAGGCGTCTCATCCAAAAACTTCATCACTGTCTGAACCATCCTCGTTGTCGCCTGTTTGAGTTGTCCATGTTTCTTGGAGAGCAGGAGCACTTGATCATTGAGGAGATTCCAGTTGCCCGAGTCTTTAGAGATTGTGACGATGGTGACAAGAATCCGTGAAGTAGTAGCGAGATCAGAAGCCTGAATCGAGTGTCAGGTTAGTCTGAGCGGTCGGGAAAGTAGGAATTGAGCATGATGCCATACCTGTCGTGCTTGCTTCTCCAGAACCAGGAGCTTATCGATGGCAGCTTCAACATCGGACTAGGGAGACAGCGTTAATACTAGGTTAACACCAAAAAGCAAATGCTTCGAACCTTTGCTAGCTGCTCTGCCTCTGGGATCAGCTTGTCAGCATCCTTTGAGAAATCCTTCTCCGGCTTCAAGAGGCCTCCGTCGGACATTGTGACAAGCGCTGAGACGTTACTTCTTGAAATGGTCGTACTGAGGCGTAGGAATCAGAAGCCCTGTATTTATATATCCCAGAGGTTCCAATAGTTCTGGAATAAGAGTGTTAATTAGTTTTGAAATAGATTCTAGATAGATGGACGTGAAGCTCTGATAGTGTGTACCTGCGCCTTGCTCTCCGGACCAGCTCAAGCTGGCGGAAGCTTTGTATCACGTGATATGGCATCACCCAATCGAACTACAGACAAGTGCCTCTACATTCTCGCGATCCTATCAACAAACCGCCTTTCTCATGGACATCGGTGTTTCGCGGTCTTAGTTCTCACATGGGAGATCCTAGGAAATCGCGGACACCTTCTGAAGCTCTCAGCCTCCTTAGGAGATGACTTTTATCGAAGCTCACGCGATGTAAGGTCCAACTGATGCTTGGGGACATGGCGATAAGGATCAGTCAAGACTGACGATGGGGGATCTATGGTCACTACCAGCATCATGAAGGCTTTGCTTTGGCTGTCAATAAGATCCTTCCGCCAGTCTTCTGTCAATTCCTCCCACTGGACCCATTACTGTCACTGTTAATATGATTCCTTATCAGTCTATCCCAGGTAAAATTGCTGGGAGGCTTAGATAAGCGAAAGGTACGATCACGCAATATCGCATTAACTATTTCGGGCTCCACGGAGTACAAACCAGCGGAAAGAAAGAAACGTTTAAAGAGTCAATTGTTTTCTTGTCGCGCTTGACTGATTTTCTTTTGGATTTCTGTTCTATAATACTATTGATAAGCTTATCGGTCCTGTCATCCGCAACAGTCATTTGGGGGGAAAGTTACTGTTATCTCCAGCGTATGAATAAGCTTCATGCTGGGTTCGGTATTTCCGCGGAAATTCAAAAAGCGATTCGTTGCCCTCTCTCTTAAGGCTGAGGATCGAAGGCGGTTGGGCTAGATAAAAGAGTCAAAGCAACCATTCTGCAGCCTTCATATTCACATTTTCTACCTCATAAAAGACAACCAAAGCTTGTTCGCATTGGACATTGCTTGCGGTGGCAATCTGTCACGATGAAGGATGCGTCTTGCGACAATGGCTGTCAAGCGCCTTTGCTGATGGCTATGAACACCGAAGATCAGGTGCACTTAATTATTGGGACGAACCCTTTAGCAGGAGCCCGTTGTGCGAAGAGTGTAGGCGTCGGAGCGAAACCTATCATCATCGCACCAGATACGGTCGATGTGCACTATACATTGACCGAGCGCTTCGAAGATGGCTCAGCGCAATGGTTACGCAGAGCATTTAAAGACGATGATTTAACCACCCTTGGGCGGGAGGAAGTCGACCATGTTGTGGACATGGTGTTTGTCACTCTCGGCGGCAGTGACCCATTGAGTAAGCATTGATCAATTTGCCATACCGCAGCTTTCGTGACCGTTGACTGACACTTCAACAGGTTCCCATGTTTCGAAGCTTTGCCGGCGTCTGAGAATTCCGGTAAATGTGTCTGACGCACCGGATCTCTGCTCCTTCAGCTTGCTCTCTACGTACTCGGATGGCCCTCTGCATATCGGAATTACGACTTCTGGCCGTGGCTGCAAGCTTGCTTCTCGCCTCAGGAGGGAAATTTCTGCTTCGCTTCCTCCGAATCTCGGGACTGCCATAGACAGACTCGGTGCGGTAAGAAGGCGTCTTTGGGCAGAAGACTACGCTGCAGGACTCTGTGATGGCATTTTCAACGGCGACGACGATGATTCGACAGGTCAAAATCATACTTTCAATAATCTAGTCACGGAGCATGACAAATCGGCCGCCAAAACAAGACGCATGCGCTGGCTCTCTCAGATTTGCGAGTATTGGCCATTACGCAAACTCGCCGCTATCACCGATTCTGATATTGAAAGGATCCTTCAGGCCTACTCCGCTGGTAAAGAAAATGCCAGCGACATGAATGGGACTGCATGGTTATCTAAGAAAGGGAAAATTGTCCTGGCTGGCTCTGGTCCAGGTCACCCTGATCTTCTCACTCGCGCAACTTATCATGCGATTCAGAATGCAGACATTATTTTGGCAGATAAGCTTGTGCCTGCTCCGGTCTTGGACTTGATTCCGCGTCGGACTGAGGTCCATATTGCGCGGAAATTCCCCGGAAACGCGGATCAAGCACAAGAAGAGTTTATGCAAATGGGGATCGAAGCCCTACGCCAGGGGCGGTACGTACTCCGGCTGAAGCAGGGAGACCCGTATCTCTATGGGCGAGGAGGAGAGGAGTTTGAGTACTTCCGAGGCGAAGGGTTTATACCCTTGGTTCTTCCCGGAATAACTAGTGCACTCAGTGCCCCATTGTTCGCGGATATCCCTGCTACCCATCGTGGTGTTTCCGATCAGGTTCTGGTCTGCACCGGCACTGGAAGGAAAGGCGCAGCTCCAGAGCCCCCTACTTACGTACCGACTCAGACGGTTGTCTTTCTGATGGCACTGCATAGACTGTCTGCACTTGTGGAATCACTGACCACGGTACCGGCGGAAGATGACAGCTCCCGTGCGAGAACCGCCTGGCCCAAGGATACTCCATGCGCCATCGTTGAACGGGCTTCATGCACAGATCAGCGGGTTATTCGCTCGACTCTTGAGCACGTCTGCTTGGCATTTGAAGCTGAAGGGTCTCGTCCTCCCGGGTTGCTCATTGTCGGAGCCAGCTGCCATGTTCTACACCGACCCAGCGGTCAAAAATGGATCGTTGAGGAGGGATTTCGTGGCCTTGATGAATTGCATACGGTTGTAGACGAGTCTATGAGGGACGGCAGTGTGCTGAAGGCCTCTTGATGTGGTTAGCATTTACATTCGGTGATTTTTTGGCACGAGTTATGAGAGATCACAATCATGAGCGGGGAGTTTGTTTCAACAGTTCTTCGATTTGAGATAGAGATACCCATATAGATTATGTTTCAACACTATGGATTGGTCACTTTGATTCCTCATTTAGCCTTTGTATTAAACCAAAATGGTAAATTCAGACTTGTCTTAATTCTTGGAAAACCTGTCAAAGTAAAAAGGACTGGGAAGTTCTGACGTGAAATTCTTCAGAAGCATGGCTTGAGGTAGATGAGTGAAATATATCTTCTCCGTACAGGGATCTATACGGAGTCACGGGTTTCCGCCACTAGGCCTCAAATACCCTCCACGCCTCCTCAAGTCAGCTCTTGTCAGCATCAACCATTCCAACAAGCATCTATCATCATACAGTACCGACTGCAACATGTCAGCAGACAACAAGACGTATCTCTCGAACGGGCAGGTACTCTCAAGGTACGGATACGATAGCCAGTTCTAGAAAGCAAAAGGCAAGAAGGCTAACGTGATTCCACTCTAGTCCTCCTCTCTCCGTTCGCATCCTACGCTTCTTCGAAAATATCTACTTCTTCCTCGGCTTATATTTCGTGAGCCTTTTCTCGGTATGTTGGGACCGTGATGTTCTCCGACACGTCGTTCCTCAGAGGCCTCGTCGGATCGTTCACTCAGCAGTGTACGCCAGTTACTGACATTTGATCCTCATAGCTCGATCCCTATACTGCCGCTCAGAATTCGCAGTTCAATGTATCACGGGCAGGAAACCGTCACAATGCTAGGCCTCGCTGGGGAGGTAGTGGTCCTAGCTCTGGAGGTGGCGGCGGCGGACCTGGAGGTGGATTTGGCCCTCGCAAGATTGGGCGTGTGGACGATATTAGAGGGCCGGAGTGTAAAAGCTGCCGTTGAGGCTGGGTAGGGTGTTTAGTGACTTGTCCTTCAGCGATGCTTTTGTTAGGATGCCTTACGAGAACCAGCGTGTCTTGCACGTGGCACAGGGATTTGGCTTTTATTACTGTGAAGATAATGACATCTTCGTCGTAGGTCCTTCGCCATTCGTGTGCATTGTACATACTATAACCCGCTGGGCCGTATATGGTGTAATTTCTGTCCATTCATGGAAGCTCGGATCGATTTGATAGACTGGTCTATGCAGGGGGACACTACGGCTGCGGACTCATTATCTCTGACATGCCTGCTGGCAGAGCGAGGTGTTCGGAGATTCCATCCGCATCTACGGTTAATTCTTGAGACGAATAATGACTACAGAGTACATCAGCATCCATATAGCTCATCGTGATGTAGTAACCTTGACATCACGTGACTCATCGGGGTTCTCCGAAGCTGATGAGGGACACAACAGCATAACTGCGTTGGCCCACTGATAGCGTTGACTGTGCGATTTTTCCTCCAGGTCATCCAGCAAAGCTTCCAGCACCATGACTCTCCCTACGAACAATGCCGAATGGGGTGCCGTGATCTCCAGTATCAAGGACCAGCTCCCGGAGGTCTACCCCGTATACCAAACCCCACTTCCGTCCTCCGTGAACCGGTACATCGATCACACCCAGCTGTCCTTAGAGGCAACAGACGAGGATATTGACAATCTCTGCGCGGAGGCCGCTCGATACAACTTCGCTGCGGTCTGCGTTCGCCTGCGACATGTCCGCAGAGCCGTTACAAATCTCCAGGGCAGCCCAGAGTGCACTGTGGCCTGCGTCGTGGGATTCCCTGAAGGCACGCATGACACCATGGAGAAGGAAAAAGAGGCGCTGGACGCCGCAGAACTGGGAGCGAGTGAGCTAGACATGGTGATCAATTGGCCAAAATTGAAGGAAGGGCAGTACATGGATGTCTACGCCGATGTCCTTGAAGTGCGGAAAGGGGCGCCGTCGCCGGTCAAGTTGAAAGTCATCCTGGAGACTTCGCAATTGACCAAGGATGAGATCATTGCGGGCTCCGTTATATCGAGCATGGCCGGGGCCGACTTTGTCAAGACCAGTACGGGATTCAAGGGAGCGGGGGCCAATGTTGAGGACGTCGCTATGATGCGGGCTGTCGCTGAGCTGGTAGGAAAGGGAACCAAGGTGAAAGCCAGTGGAGGAGTTCGCTCAGCGGAAGACTGTGTCAAGATGTTGAAAGCGGGCGCAGATCGCATTGGAACGAGTTCAGGGGTGAATATTATAAACCAGCTCGCAGGGAAGGAGACGCAGCCGGCCACACCTGCAGCTTACTAGTACGGTCGTCGGCAGCGAGCCTCAACGAAGGTAGACTATTGTTTGCCCCTGAGACTGAGCTTATCGTCAGAAGAACAGTACCTTTCAAATATCTAAAAGCTATGGACCTGACTAGTAACTATAAGGCATGGCGTAGGGATGGATATCACTACATTGCTGTTTGGGTGCATAGCTGGTGGAGCACGTTATCAACTAAACACCAATTGGCTGTCAACTGGTTTTCCTCACGGACAGACATTTGACAGAAGGAGGACGAAAAAGATCTGCAATTATTGATTATGACCATCCGTCTATCCAACTTCCTTTATCCCCCTCCTTCAAAAGGTGTTGGTGCCAAGACGAAGACAACCTTCAAGCTAGGGAACTTACTTACCAGGGGCAAGTACTACTCGGCAGTTATTCGACATGCGTCGACTGCATGACTTGCAGGAAGTGACAACCTACCAAGATAAAAAGCTTGCAATGATTCCAATCTCGCCGTTTCGCGATGGCAGCCCGATGGCAGCCACGACGCTCCCTTCAAGAGGATTTGCTGCCTATACACCGAGTAATTCTACGGTGAATGAGAAGCATAGTATCAATACTGAGGATATTCCCTCCTTCCCATTTCTCAGAATTAGATAGTGAACAAACCTGTCATATCCAGGCTCAATAAATCGGGCAAGGCTGTGTTCCCGGTCCATCGCATGTGCTTTTAGCCGCCTTCTGCGTTGACGATTTCATGTATAGGTGATGATAACAAGAAAACTCGTTGTGAAGCTGGTGATCGATATGAAGGAGATTTCCAGCACCCACGTTAAGTCGGAAACCCTCTTGTAGCAGTGAGTGGACTGCTTTCTCACCCTTCTCACTTGCTGGCAGACCTGCATATCGTACGGAGTACTGGGAGGAACTACTCTTACCTGCGCAAGAACCTGGTATGCATCCCAGTCTTTGCAGACCGGACTGCTGCCAAATTGGATATATCATCTCCGCGTCAATGAGGTGTGTGACTACGGTGAGGCTCCAAGAATTACTCCGTCCAATGGTTCTCTCGGTTGGCAGGCGGAAAGGTAGGTGAGGTTGCTATACTACTCCTGTTGTAAGCTCTGGTCTGGCCCCTTCCTCGTTTCAGATTGGATCAAAGGAATGTGTCTCTGAAGTTTTGCCCGATGAAACGGGCGCGATTTCCAGACCCGTCAGCCAAGCATTCCTGGTTGATGATCGAACACGAGGCTGTGCGTTCTGACGTCTTACTTCTGACATGCGAGGAATGCTTGCTCCCCTTCAATTCGCTTCGACGGTAGCAATGGGCCAATTGATGAGAATTCAGAGCAAGGGAGGATGGCGAGCCAGTGCACAGCCCCTTGATACGTGGACCCCTCTTTACATTATTGCTTTTTTTTTTTTTTTTCTCCTCTTTTTGTTGGCTTTAAGTGTGCAGCCGAAGCGATGATAGCACCTTTCAGGCTTGAATTATTGGCGACTGAGCGTTAATATGGCTATGTGGCGGTTATTCATTCATTTGATGGACGGAATAATGGGAGTGAGTTGGCCTGGCTTACAGGTTACTGTTTGGTTAGGGGTTTTAGGCGTTCTGGACTTTTGTCGAAGGGATGAGACGATTGAGATATCGTTTTATATGCTTGAGTCCATTCTTTAGACCCTTGGTGGGTTCATGACTATATACACATGCAAACGGTCCAGTATATGTAGATTGCCCGAACGATTAGCCCATTGCGCCTTTCCTGGAAGTCTATTCGACCGATATGTGAAAATATGCAGATGAAGTGAATCCTAGAGTCATAACAGAGAACTGTAAGGAAGGGGAAGGGAAGGGGAAGATAAAGCGACAATCATTGCTCGGCACTGCTTTGATCATCGGTTTCGCTGGTCTGAGCTTCCTCTTCCAATTCCATCCGCCGAAGTACGGCATCACCCTTCTTTCCTTTCTTCTCGGCAGCGAACCAGGCTTCCCGCCTGCGAGTCTCGCGCTCTTCCTTTCGACCTTGACGCAGAAGCTTTTCGCGATGGGTCTGTTCCTGCTTCTGATGCAGCTCATTGACGTAGTCATGCAGGTTGACCAGGTCCGAGCGCAGTTTAGTCACCTCATCCGTGGTAACTTGGCGGGCCGTCTCGTTGACGGCAAGTTTCTTCTTCAGCGTGGTGATTTCCTCTTCCAATGATGCGATCTGGGAGTTATCGACGGTTGCCGCTTGATCAGGGACTATTGATTGCGAAATCGCCGAGACATGGGTTCCGTCGTTCCCGGAATGCTTGAGGGCGGCAAGCTCCGCGAGACCTTCTTCCATCATTGATTCAGGGAAGAAAGCGTGTGTCAAGGCTGTAGAGAATTGATTTGATTGATGATCGCTTAAAGCCAGTCGTGCTGTGTCAGAGACGAGCAGATGCGTACTGAATGTATAGTCAGCTGGGACCGCGCCAGGTGTACCCGAAGACTCTGAAAGAGCATGGTCATAACGGGGCTTGACTATGGTGTGCGCTACCCGTCTCAACTCATTTTTAGAAGATGGCAGTCCTTCCAAAGGAAGCGCAATAATATTCGTCACAGGGTGGGTGTAATCGGCCAGTGTTGATGCATATTTCCGTCGAGCAACATTCCATGACAGGACTTTTCCATTTTGATGTCCGGATAGCAAGGTCATTCCATCGTAGGAAAGAGAAAGAGAGTGGACACCACCGAAGTCGGAGGATGGAGCAAGCCAGCGATCTTCCGCTGATGGTTGTGACGGGGTGGACTGTAATGAAGGATCGTGTAGGGTATGCTGTATTGACTGACTCTTGTAGAAGTCGACCGACTGGACGCTACCATCCTCGTATCCCACGTAGAATGCACGGTCGACCGGATCAAGAGTCAAACATGTTGCAGAGGCGGGCAGGAGGAAGGTTCGCAAGAGGCGTCCCGTGTGGTAATCCCAAGCAATGGCGGTGTTATCTTTGGAGGTGGATACAGCAATGTTATAGCGACCGCTGCTATGACCCACAGCGATGGACGTGATGGCAGCGCGGTGGTTTGAGAATGTACGGATCGGCGAGTTTGGCTGCTGTCGGTCCCGACCCGAGGGAGGTTTCGTGAATGAAAGAATATCGACGAGTGACCATACATGGATACTAGCATCAGACGATCCTGAAAGAATGAAGTTGGCAGTGGGATCAACCACGAGCGATGTCACTGGTTGTAAATGCGACGCTGTCGTAGCCACTTGTCGCCCGGTGCAAGTCTGCCGTTGAAGGGCCCCAGTCAGATATCCGAACTGGCACAGACGCAGAACGAGTTTATAACAGCTTGTTCACTCACCTCCCACAAAATCAACCGTCCGCCTTCTGTCCCCAGAACCAGAATATCCCCATTCTTCCCACCCGCAAGCGCGATGCTCCGTATGCGCTCCGGAAAAGGGACGATCGCTTCCTGGTTTCCCTTCTCTCGGCTGTACACATGAACAATGGCTTTCTCTGACTGGGCAGCAAACACATGCGACGGGCTCACGGCTAGGCAATTGGCCGCTGTTGAGCTCTTTTTGAAGGTAGAGCGCAGGTTAGGAGTGGGCTGCCACTCTTGCACACAAATTCCCACATCTCTCAAGGTCGCAGCTGCTGGCGTCTTGACGGACGTCAATGTCGACGCGATGAAGCTCTCCGACAACATGACGACTTGACTGAGAATTGAGGAAAAGGGATAGAGAGGAAAAGAGAAGCTGGTGATAATGACCAGCTGTCATGGAAACATTTTTTTTTTTTGCGTTTTCCTCTTTTGATGGATCACCGATAAAGCGGGCGATAAACGATCAGTTTGTCTTGTTTGCTTTTGGGGAAGATGAGATGCCTCTGTATTTGCTTCTAGAAATGCTGATCAAGCTCATCTAGGAAGACTATTAAATCTAACTAACGGGCATTTTTCATCTGAGAAATTAATTTTGATTCTCAGGTTTGTGCTCCAATACATTGACAATAATCCTTGGTCCCCCTTCAATTCCTCCTACTGATCCTACTGTCATAGTAGCAGCTCCTCGCTGAGAAAAGGATGGATCGACATTGACCGGCCAGGCAAACTATTCCTTTCGCCATGGTGGTCATTCATCGTGGGTCTTCTTTCTCATTCTCTTCAGTGCCTCCTGTAGGCATTGAAGCCATCTGAATGAATGTACAATGTCCTCAAAAGTATACGGGTATCTGCAGCCACTACCGAAATTGTACGGCCATCGCCAAATATGGCCAATGCCTGCGCCCACAGCAACCGATGCAAGGGGCCTTTTCGTAGGGGCGTACCTTTGATTGCTCGGTGCAACAGGCACATCAAGTCTGTAGCCCAATTGAATTGAGAAATAGAGCGTGACGTCCCTTCAGAAGATCAAAGGGTTACCGTGTCCCTCGCTCTGCATGTCTCATTCCTTGTGTTCTGACGAAATAGGATCGACTTGGGTAAGCAGACCACCCACGTTGTGGTGTCCCTGCAGGTGGCGCGCAGTCATCGCCGTCGATCCAATAGCCGTGGTGACTGTTTCGATCTCACCTCCCACTGGCATGCAAGGATGGTGAAGTCGTTACCTTTCCAATCCGTTCATGTTCCAAAATCTTTGGGGGCACTCCGGAAGGGGCAAGATATACATGCCCAATGTCTGGCCTGCTGTCACCCCAGGGCATCAAGGGATGGTTGGAGTAAGCTGCGCTTGTAGTTATAGGTGATGACGGCTCTTTTAGATGATTCGCATCTGGTTCCCTTCTTCCTGGTTTGACTTCTTTAGCCCATCCCAGTGCTATATGCAAATTCATTCTCTTACTGCTCTTCTCACGACTCTGCATGCAACATGTCCACCACTAACCAACCATCTCCTCGAATGTTCTCGAGACCAACCTATCATGAGCATACAATGTCCGCTTATCCCATACCATCCTACTGTGCGCCCCGGCAAGGTTCCATGGCACAGGATAATGCACATGTATCGACCTGTCTTTCAGAAGACTATCGACCTCGGAGAAGGAAGCAGGTGACGAGTTCTCTG